GATGATAGAAATAGGATAGCAACTCAGGAGAACGTAAAGAGAAAATAAGGCCTGGTGTGGTGGCACACACCTATAGTCCTAGCCACTCGGGAGGCTGAGGCAGGAGAATCACTTGAATCTAGGAGGCGGAGGTTGCAGTGAGCCAAGAATGAGCCACTGCACTCCAGGCTGGGCGACAGAGAGAGACACTGTGTCAAAAAGAAAAAAAAAGAGAAAATGATCTGAAAACTCCATTCCCCTAAACTCTTATGCCTCATTTCCCACTATGTAAACTATGGAGAGAGAAAAGGAACTTGTGGAGAAAGCTGGGGGATGAGTCCCATTCTCTCCCTACCCAACCCCCAGCAGGAGGGGTCCCCTAGGTAATGCTTTTTTTTTTTTTTTCCTGAGATGGAGTATCACTCTGTAGCTCAGGCTGGAACACAATGGCGCAATCTCAGCTCATCGCAACCGCCTCCTCCCTGGGTCAAGCAATTCTCCTGTCTCTTCCTCCCAAGTAGCTGGAATTACATGCACCTGCTACCACGCCCGGCTAATTTTGTATTTTTAGTAGAGACACGGTTTCACCATGTTGGTCAGGCTGGTCTTGAACTACTGACCTCAAGTGATCTACCTGCCCTGGCCTCCCAAAGTGCTGGGATTACAGGCATGAGCCACCGCGCCCAGCCCCAAGGTGATCCTTACAGCAGCGAGGGGACTGGGATCTGTCTCCTGCCTGTGTAGGAAGCCCTGGAAAAGCCCGGCAAGCAGCCAGCCAGCTCCAGCCGCAATCCACATGGCACTTCCTTGCCTCCCTTTTCCTTCCTGCACTCCAACCCTGGATGGGTCAGAACCTGGCAGTGAGCAGGGTTGGGAAGAGGATAAGTACAAGGTGCAGAAGCAGGAGAGGTAACCAGGCTCTCCACCCATTGAGGCTTCTGGGCGGAAGGAGCCCTGAGCCCGGACAGGGAGAAGATCTGTGATGAGTCACATTTGGAGATTTGATGAATATCTTGGATGTGATGCTCTGATGACCAAATTAAATAGAGGCTCGGTGGCCTTTGGGCAGATTATTGCTAAAAGTGCACAAAAAGGCCAAGGCACCTGCCAGAATATTCACTGAGGGCAGGTGAGTTATGTTCTTCATGTTTCTTTTATTATTATTTTTTGAGATGGAGCCTCGCTCTGTCACCCAGGCTGGAGTGCAGTGGCAAGATCTCAGCTCACTGCAGCCTCCACCTCCCAGGTTCAGTCAATTCTCCCGCCTCCATCTCCAGGGTAACTGAGATTACAGGCGCACACCACCATGCCTGGCTAATTTTTGTATTTTTTTTTTTTTTATAATTTTTGTATTTTTGGTAGAGATGGGGTTTTACTACGCTGGCCAGGTTGCTCTTGAATTCCTGGCCTCAAGTGATCTGCCTGCCTTGGCCTCCCAAAGTGCTGGAATTACAGGTGTGAGCCAATGCACCCAGCCTGCTCTTTTCTCTCTTTTCTCTCTTTCTTTCTTTCTTTTGAGACAGAGTCTTGCCGCTCTGTTGCCCGGGCTAGAGTGCAGTGGTGTGATCTCAGCTCACTGCAACCTCTGCCTCCTGGGTTCAAGCCTCCCAAGTTTAAGCGATTCTCCTGTCTCAGCCTCCTGAGTAGCTGGGATTACAGGCATGCACCACCATGCCCGGCTAATTTTTATATTTTTAGTAGAGACGAGGTTTCTTTTTCTGTTTTTTTAATTCTTTCTTTTTTTTTTTTAATTCTTCTAGAAATGGGGTTTCACCATGTTGGTCAGGCTGGTCTTGAACTCCTGGCCTCATGATCTGCTTGCCTGGGACTTCCAAAGTGCTGGGATTACAGGTGTGAGCCACCATGCCCGGTCTCTTTATATTTCTTAATGGCACAAGATGATGCAATAAGTTAACTATGTTTTCCTAAAAATGCATGGTATTTTCATCCTTGATTAAAACCTCTATTTGTCAGTACAGTATCAAGACAGAATTCCTACTGTTTCTCTTCCAACTGTAGGATAATTTTAAAAAATAGAGATTATGGATTAAAAATACTCCATGAAACTCCAACCCAACGTCACGCTTGCCCAGGTTTTGTTGATTCCCTCCCCTTACCCCCAACTCTTGACAAAGGTGACAGTGCGACACTCATCCATTTGTTTGACAAGCACGTCCTGGACTCCATGCTCTTGGGCATTGGGGATAACGTGGTCCCTGCCTTCCCAGAGCTTCTAGCCCAGGAGGAGGGACATACTAAATCAACACACTGAGATAAACTCATAAAGACGAGGAAAGGGAACAGGGCGTGTTATGACAAAACTAGAGAAAGACCTGATTTGGACAGGGAGAATCTGGGAGGGCCTCTCTGAGGAAGTGACGATGAGGCTGGGAACTAAGGGCTGAGTGGAACCAGAGGAAGAGCTGGGGGAGAGTGCTGCAGCCAGGGGGTGCAGCACAGGTAGTGGCCGACTAGGGAAGGCCACGGTGGGCAGAGCCCAGAAGGAGGCCGTGAGGTCACCAGAGGCCAGGCCACATGGGGCCCTGGTGGCTTAGCACTTCCAATCCTTATCATGAGAGCAGGCAACCATTTAATGATCCGATCTGGTGGTGAAACGATTCCGTCTGCCTCCTCTGATCCAGTCTGCCATTCTCTGCCCTGCTCTGTGCTCAGGAAGGAAGATCTCTCCAGCCGTGTCACCTGGGTTCCTGTGCCTTGGGAGTTTGGCCAATGGCAAGCACTGGCAGGGGATGGGAAGACAGGAGGAGAGAGGCTGGAGTATTTCTTTCTCTTCTCTTCCTCCCTGAGGGGCTGTGATGATAGCATCAATGGCTGTCATTTTTGGTCCCTTACAGCTACTGCTCCTGTTGGGCTGCCCCTCTCCCAGGGCCATAGCTCTCACTAGCTTTCAGAAACTTCTCCTGTCTCCCTCTGAGCCCATCAAGCCTTGGGGGTGGGTATAAGGCTCCTGCCCTGGCTAGTCCCTGCATGCAGCATCTTCCCACACAGTTCCTGCAAGCTCCCCACACCTCTGTTAGTGGCATCAACTCCCTTTGGTTAAATCCTTGAGGGAGATCTGCTTCTCACTGGGTTCCCAATGGAGGCAGACGCTGGCAGAGGGACAACAGATTGGCAATCTGCGGAGAACACTGTGGCTGTCTCATGAAGAATGGACGGGAGGATGGGGCATGTGCAGGAGACCAGAGAGGGAGCTACTGCGGGACTCCGGCCGATCAGGCCAGACTCCTCGCTCTCCATCTCTGGCCTTGACTGTCTAGTGACCCTTCATGCCCCAGGAGTGCCACGTGGCTGGGTGCTGCTCTGGGCTGAGTGGATTCCCCAGCACAGGTGCTCAATGCTGACTAAAGTAATGGTTTAGAAGTGGACAGACGAAACACGTTTCTACCAAGGTATGGTGGGCATAGCTTTAACAGCAAAACACATTTTCCAGAGCGGACATGCTTCAAAGAATGCCACACACACCAGGGAAATTTTCTTCTGTGGGAAATCTTGTGGGCATGGCCTTACCCCAGGCAGGGGGATGGATGAGATGACCTCCCCTGTCCCTCTCTCTACTGAATGGGGCAGTCAGATTGCACTTTACAGAGATGAAGGGCTCTGCAACTTCTTCTTTTTTGTGTGTGTGTGTGAAACAGTTTTGCTCTTGTCTCCCAGGCCAGAGTGCAATGGCGTGATCTCAGCTCACCGCAACCTCTGCCTCCTGGGTTCAAGTGATTCTCCTGCCTCAGCCTCCAGAGTAGCTGGGATTACAGGCACATGCCACCATGACCGGCTAATTTTGTACTTTTTTTAGTAGAGATGGGACTTCTCCATGTTGGTCAAGCTGGTCTCGAACTCCTGACCTCAGGTGATCCACCTACCTCAGCCTCCCAAAGTGCTGGGATTACAGGCGTGAGCCATCGCGCCCGGCCGAGCTTTGCAACTTCTTAATTTAGCACTTAGCTGCTTACAGTGACAGATTTTGGCTTTTCCTATATTCCTGATTCATGATTTTACGAATCATAAAATTGCAAACGGCTGAAGGTTTTTGAGCCATCAGAACAGCTGGTCCTTTACTTCCCAGTGGGAGCGACTGGGTTTTGAGAGTCCACAGGCTGCAGGGATGATGCGGGTGGTCATTCGGAAATGGCACACTTGAAACAGAAAGGATGACAACTCACGACACAACCAGGAGACGAGGTGACCTGGTGGCCACCTAAACACTGGAGGGCAATAAGTGTTGCTAGAACACTCAGAATTATTTATTCAACCGTTATTTTTTCAGTGCCTACAACACTGGGGCCAGGCGTCTTTCCAGCAAGCAAAGATGGCTTTAGGGTCCACTATGTGCCCAGCTCTGTGCTGTGACAGATACAGGAAGCTAAACATGACATGGGATGGGGTTACTGTCAAAGGAGGCAAGAGCCATGTAATTTTTTTTTTTTGAGACAGAGTCTTGCTCTGTCACACAGGCTGGAGTGCAGTGGGGCTCACTCTAGCCTTGACCTCCTGGGCTCAAGTGATCCTCCCACCTCAGCTGGGATTACAGGTGCATGCCAGCATGCCTGGCTAATTTGTAATTTGTTTTTATAGAGACAGGGTCTCCCTATGTTGTCCAGGCTGATCTTGAACTCCTAGGCTCAAGTGATCCTCCTGCCTCAGCCTCCCAAAGTGCTGGGATTACAGGCATGAGTCACCATGTCCGGCCCATCATATCATTTTTATGGTGTGATGTGTGCTATGACAGAAACATGTTGGGCAATGGCACTTGGAGCAGGTAAGGAACCACTGGAGGATGTCAGAGGCTCATCTGAGTTCAGTGTTTTTTTGTTTTTTTGTTTTTTTTTTTGAGATGGAGTCTTGCTCTGTCGCCCAGGCTGGAGTGCAGTGGTGCAGTCTTGGCTCACTGCAACCTCTGCCTCCTGGGTTCAAGCGATTCTCCTCTCTCAACCTCCAGAGGAGCAGCTGTGATTACAGGCACCTGCCACAACACCTGGCTAATTTTTGTATTTTTAGTGGAGATGGGGTTTCACCATGTTGGCCAGGTTGGTCTCCAACTCCTGACCTCAGGTGATCTGCCTGCCTCAGCCTCCCAAACTGTTGGGATTACAGGTGTGAGCCACCGCACCTAGCCCTGAGTTCAGTCTTGAAGGACAATCAGAAATTCACTGAGTTGGGGGCCAGGAGTTGGGGGTTTCAGGAGAAGGTAAGCTGGGGAGCTGTGGCCAGGCTCCCTCCACAGGCGAGAGGCAGGGTCAGGTCTGTCCAGAGAGCAGCGGCCTGTGGGGAAGGAGGGACGGGAAGGCAGGGTGATGGCTGAGGAGTCGCTTCGGTTGTATCTCTAACATTTTCTTTCTTTAAAAGTGAAGGAAAGAGGGAGAGCTGAAGCAAACAAAGCAAAATGTTAACATCTGTTAAAGCTGGCGGTGGGCACATGGGTGTCTGTTAAATGATTTTCTGCATGTTTAAAATATTGCATAATAAAAATACTTTAAATTAAATTATAAAAAACAAGAAAGGTTTGTGTGTCAGAGAGAAGAAATCACTCTGGAGACCATGCAGAGGCGGGCCTGGAAGGGTGGGAGGTTGGCTGCAGGCTGATGTGATGACCCCAGTAGGAGAGGGGAGGTCAGAGTGGGGACGAAGAAGAGAAAGTCACCCCCCCGACCAGCTCAACCCCTCACCTGTGATGCATCCTAAGAAGGCTGCCTCCTTTTCCAGTGTGTGCATGTGTATGTGTGCATGTGCATGTGTGTGCATAGGTGCAGGTGTTTATGTGTGCCGTGTGAGTGCATGTATGTGTGTGCACGTATGTGTGTGCATGTATTTATGTGTGCCCGTACGAGTGCATGTATGTGCGTGCATGTGCGTGGATGTGTGTGTGCATGTGTGCGTGTGCGTGGATGTGTGCGTGCATGTGTGCGCGCATGTGTGCGCATGTGCCTGTGTGCATGTGCCTGTGCATGCATGCATGTGCATGTGTGTAAATATCTCCCATCTCATCTAAGATTAGTCCTCAGCCCCACAAAGGGCCTGAGGTGCAGGCACTCTAGCTGCTGCTGCTGCATGTTCCAGGAACCGACGGGCAGGGGGAGAGGGGGCCTCAGGTCCCGGGACATGCCTGGAAGGAGGCCCTGCCACGCAGTGTGCTGGCTCCCAGTAGCCAGTGGGCAACACGTGCAGCACAGCAGTGCTTGACAGCCAGTGCTGCAGGCTGGGATGCCCCTCCCTTCCCTCGCCCAGCCGAGGGAGACAGCTGGTAGACCCGTGGTAATTCCGCAGCGACTATCAGTGCATATATATACGTACTCTGCTCCAGCACCTCCATTTCTAGAATTTCTTTTACAGCTGTATGCTTGGACTCAGGCGCAATCAGACTATAAATAAGACTGTTCATTGCATCAAGCAACAACCCTAATACCCATCAGTAGAGGACAGGAGATGACCCTGCATCCAAACAATGGAATATGAAGCGTCAGAAAGAACAAAAAGCACTTCATGTACAGGTAGGAAAAGATCTCAGCTGTATGCGGTGGCTCACACTTACAATCCCAGCACTTTGGGAGGCTGAGGCTGGAAGATCGCTTGAGGCCATGAGTTCAAGATCAGCCTGGGTAAAACAGAGAGACCCCATCTCTACTAATTTTTTTTTTTAATTAGCTAGGCATGGGGGTGTGCACCTGTAGCTCCAGCTACTCAGGAGGCTGAGGCAGGAGGATCGTTTGAGCCCAGGGGGTCAAGGCGGCAGTGACCTATGATTGCACCACTGCATTCCAGCCTGGGCAACAGAGTAAGACCCTGTCTTTAAAAAAAAAAAAAAAAAAACCCTAAACAACAAAAACCTCAATTCTGCCTCCAAAGAAGGGCCGACCTCCACAGGCAGGCCCTGCTTCCCCCTGACTTTCCTCTGGGCCATCACTCGTGCCTCTTGGTCCTTGAAGCCCGGTGCCCAGGCCTGGCTGGTGATTCTGGCTCTAGGACAGGCACACAATTCCAACTGGGCCAGTGAGCCCCAGTTTAGGGAATTCTGATGCAACTCCTGGGAAAGAAAAGCTCTCATTTTGGGGGATTTGCGGCTGGCAGGATGTTCACCTCAGAGCTGCTGGACAGGTGACCCCCAGGAGAGGGGGGCAGATCCAGCCAGGTCTAACCGTGCCATTTTTGAGAGCTTATATACACAACTGTCTTTTTGTCTCAAGCCACATTGAGATGGGTCTTCTGTCACTCGAAACAAAAGATTACAAGCAAATACAAATCCCTGATGGTTTCCTTAGCAAAACTGGGGAGCCATGCCCCTTTCTGGCAGAAAACCACTCTCTGAGATGGTGTGGGGAGTGTGCGCTGCGCTCTCCTCCTGAAGCACAACATGTGAGGTGGTGGGGGGCCCTGTACTGGGACCCACTCGGGCCAGCTGCCTGCCCCTCTCTCCGTGCACTGCTGGGGACCGGGTGTGGCGGGGCATACCTGTAGCAGACGTTATCAGTGCAGGGGTTGTGGACTCGGACAATGATGAAGACGTGCTGGAAGTGGGAGCGGATGTTCTTGGGGGTGAACGGTAGCGCGCCAGGCTCCTGGAAGATGATCGTCACGATGTCGTTCCCTATGTGCCTCTTCCGTAGCAGCTGGGAAAGGGCAACAGAGGGGGACAGGAACGTGTCACAGGTTGGCCTGAGGGGTCCTGCCTGGACCACTGCCACAGCTCCTTACCCACCCCCATTCCCGCTCCCTGCTCACACATAGCCCAAGGAACGAGCTTCCTGTGGTTCCCTCTGATTCAGGATAAAGGACAAACATCTTGCCATGGCCCGGCAGGCCCCCGTCACCTCTCTGACATTCCCCATGGCCCGGCAGGCCCCCGTCACCTCTCTGACATTCCCCATGGCCCCTGCTCACTCTGCTGCAGCTACACCCCACCTCCTGCTGCTCCTCAACCACGCCAGAAACACTTCTTTGAGGCCTCTGCACCTCTGTTCCCTCTGCTAGGAACATTCTTCCTGAGTCCCCACGTGGCTTCCTTCCTCACCTCCTCTGGTCTTGCAGAAACCTCCCTCCCAGGGAGGCCTTTGCTGACTACGTTATCCAACATCCATCCCACCACAACACTCCCTGATCTTTGCTTTCCTGTCCCCATTACTTAACACTTATTGACACTCAGCACAGACAGTTTTCCCCTCTTCCTTTTGTTTCCTGTCTCTTCCCACTGAAGTGGCAGCTCCATGAGAACAGGGATTTTGTTCAATGCCCACCGCTGTACCCTCAGTACGCAGCACAGTGCCTGGCATACAGGAGGTGCTCAATAAATATGATCCAGAGAGCACAGGCTGGTGCCCTTCAACTTGCTCAAAGCCACACTCAGGGACAATGGCAGAGTCAGATCCCAGGTCACTGGCAGGGCCAGTTATGGCGCCACCCCTTCCCTGGACCCTGACTGAGGTCAAGACGGCTGTGGCTTCCGAGTGCCCTATGGGACCCTCACCCTCTGATACAATTTGGCTGTGTCCCCACCCTACAGTTCATCTTGAATTGTAGCTCCCATAATTCCCATGCGTTGTGGGAGGGACCCGGTGGGAGGTAATTGAATCATGGGGGTGGGTCTTTTCCGTGCTGTTCTCGTGGTAGTAAACAAGTCTCACGAGATCTGATGGTTTTATAAAAGGGTAGTTCCGCTGCACAAGCTCTCTTGCCTGCCACCATGGAAGACATAATTTTGGTCCTTCTTTGCCTTCTGCCATGACTGTGAGGACTCCCCAGCCATGTGGAGCTGTGAGTCCATTAAACCTCTTTTTCTTTATAAACTACCCAGTTTTGGGTAAATCTTCATTAGCAGTGTGAAAACAGACTAATACACCTTCTCTCCCCTGCTGGTCAGTCTCCGAGGAAGACTCTGTTATCTTCACAGGTGACGCTGTATTCACCGTGTTTGGCTTATTTGCTGATATTATATTGTTCTTTTTCTTTTTTTTTTTTTTTTGAGACGGAGTTTCGCTCTTGTTGCCCAGGCTGGAGTGCAATGGTGCTATCTCAGCTCACTGCAACCTCCGCCTCCCGGGTTCAAGTGATTTTCCTGCCTCAGCCTCCTGAGTAGCTGGGATTACAGGCATGTGCCACCACGCCCAGTTAATTTTGTATTTTTAGTAGAGATGGGGTTTCTCCATGTTGGTCAGGATGGTCTCGAACTCCTGACCTCAGGTGATCTCCCTGCCTCGGCCTCCGAAAGTGCTGGGATTACAGGTGTGAGCCACCGCGCCCAGCCTATTATACCGTTCTTATTTACATAGTTCTAGTATTCACATAACTGTTAAGGAATCTGCCAATGCAGGAGATCCACGGACGGGAGTCCCATGGAGCTCTAAGTGACGTGGCTCACAGCATGAACTCCAGACACGCTTTGCAGCTCAACTCCTACGGTTGAATGGTTAGTTCTTTATGTATGTTTTAAGTGGCATTAAATCAAGTTGCTAAAGTAGCTATTGACTATGGCTGGTCCTGTACTAAACCCTGTACAGCCGTCTCTTCAATTTATCTTCTCAATGAATCTCCTAACAACCCCGAGAAGCGTTAACTCACTTTGCCCCGCTTTACAGATGAGAAAACTGAGGCTTACAGAGGTTAAGTAATTTTCCCTAAGTCACGTAGTGACGGAGGGAAAGAGCCTGGATTCTAACCCATTTCTTTACGACTCAAGCTTTTCTCCAGCACGCCTCCCACTTACTCAGGAACGGGTACTGCTCCCTGCACCCCTCCTGCGTGTCGGGCCCTGTCACGCTCCAGTTGCCGCAGGAGTGTATGGACCTTTCTCAATGACCCTGAGACAGGGGCACTACCATTCTAACCATTTTACACAGGAGGGACTCGAGGCCCAGAGAGGTGAAATCACTTACTTGAGATCGCACAGCTAGGAAGTAGCAAAGAAAGAACTCAAATTCAGGTCTAATTCTGAGATAACAGCCTTTTTTTTTTTTTTTTTGAGACAGAGTCTTGCTCTGTTGCCCAGGCTGGAGTGCAGTGGCACGATCTCAGCTCACTGTAACCACTGCCTCCTGGGTTCAAGCAATTCTTGTGCCTCAGCTGGGACTATAGGCACACGCCACCACATCCAGCTAATTTTTGTATTTTTAGTAAAGACGGGGTTTCACCATATTGGCCAGGTTGGTTTCAAACTCCCGACTTCAGGTGATCTGCCTGCCTTGGCCTCCCAAAGTGCTGGGATCACAGGCATGAACCACCAAGCCTGGCCTAAGACCAAACCTGTTAATAGCATGTTTTTAGATGAACCTTAGGAAATCAATATTTGACCATTTTTGGCCTACAATGTCACTTGTGCCAAATGGGAAAACATGTACACTTACTTCCTAAACTGTCAACACTCTGGGGCTTCTGTTCATTAGGAACTGGAAGAACTGCTCTGTGGGCCCAGCCTGCAAGCTGAGTCCAGGAGAGGAGCGGGGTCACAGCTGCAGCCTCCTGGCAATGGGTGTTTGGTGGTGCTGCCCACCGAGTATCCCTGCCTCCTCCTGGCAGCCACACCCACCTAGTTTGGGAAAGCACCATCCCAACCTCCGTCCATGTTTCAAGTTGAGCTGGCGCCACTCACCCTCTCTGGGGTGGGCATGAGCCTCGGGCTTAGCCAGTCTGCCCCTTCCACCCCCACCCCAGGCCCCGAGACTGGCATGTGAATGGTCTAATGAGACAGTTCTGAAACACTTCGGGACAACTGGAAAGAACAGCACTCTTCCTGCTGGGGTGGCTAAGCTGGTAGGATGTGAGCCTGTGGCTACAAGGAGGTGTCTCTGCCCTGCACCTGTGAATAAAGCTGCTGCAAAGAAAAGCGGAGGTGAGAAATGGGGAGGATTCCTAATATTGTTGGAGTCCCTGGATCCAACCAGACCTGAGGCCAGCCCTCTCCAGAATCTTAAGAGTTATATAACCGAGTAAATCTCTTTCTAGTTAAGCCAGTTTGGTGTTTCTGTTACTTGCAGTCAAAATAATGTTGACTGATTCACTCTTCTTCTTAAGACCAGTGATGACTCAAGAGGCCCTGGAGGGGAGTCGGGGTAGCTGGGGCCAAGCAGGGTGCCCAAAGAGCAGCAGGAAAGACTGGGGCCAAAGCGACATCTCGAACCACACCTGGCCTGGTTTCTAACCCCCGGGGAAAATGACTACGCTAAAGATGGCCTCCAAGGCCAAGGGCCTCCATATGACCTACAGGACGGTACTGGGAGGGCCAATGCTGGTGGGTGGGCAGTCAACATCCAGCAGCCGTGCCTCTGCTGAAAATCACTGACCTGCTGCCTGTTGTTGGGGGTGTAAGGGAGCAGGGTGGAGACGTGGAACATGATCTCGTAGTCCTGGTACGTCGTGTAGAGGGAGTGGGTTCCCGTGGAGTCGGCTGAAACAGAAATGCCAGTTAGGACCATGTTTCCAAAACCTTTGGGTTTTTGCCATATCCCACGTACCATCTGTGCTGGTTTTTAACTTGGTGCTTTTACTTCAATCCACTCTTAAAAACTAAATACATTGGCCAGTCGCGGTGGCTCATGCCTGTAATCCCAGTACTTTGGGAGGCTGAGGAGGGTGGATCACCTGAGGTCAGGAGTTTGAGACCAGCCTGGCCAACATGGTGAAACCTCGTTTCTACTAAAAATACAAAAATTAGCCAGGCGTGGTGTTGGGCACCTGTAGTCCCAGCTACTCGGGAGGCTGAAGCAGAAGAATCGCTTGAACTCGGGAGGCGCAGCTTGCAGCGAGTCAAGATGGCGCCACTGCACTCTAGCCTGGGTGACAGGGTGGCTGTGTCTCAAAAAAAAACCAAAAAAATTAAATACATTTAGATAAAAAGGAAACCCCATTGCTATGCACCCACCAGACTGGTAAAAATTAAAAAGTCTGACAGCACCAAGGGTTGGTGAGGATGTGGAGCAAACGGAACCCTTGAGGTGGCTGGTTAGGTGTGTAATGCGGTCCGAGCACTTCGGAAAACTTTTTAGCAATCTCTCTTAAGCCTGAAGATGGGCTTCATTGACAACCTAGCACTTCCTCTCCTCGGACCGCAGCCCAAAGAAATCATGCACACGTGTCCTGGGATATGGGTACAAGAAGCTTCACGTGTCAGTCACAAGAATGTGTGAACACACTGGTCAATTCACACTGTGGAAAAATATACAGCCAGGAAAAGGAACGAGTCACGGCTGCGGCTTGGGGGAATCCTCTGAATGTTGAGTGAAAGATGCTGACACAAAGCAGCACACACGGCGTGATCCCATTCATGTGACGTGCAAAAGCAGGTCAGAGTATACCAGTCAGGGATGCGTACGTAAGTAGCAAAATTATGAAGAAAAGCAAAGAAATGATTATCACTGAGAATCAGGATATGGGTTCTCTCTAATAGGAGAGAGCGTTATGACCAGGAAGAGGCAAATCTACTTATTGAGCCCATGTTTCAGAGGGGGAAACGGAGGCATGAAGAGGGACTGCCTTCCCAAGGTCACGCTGCACTAAGTGGTAGAGTCTGGATCAGAACTCAGGCTGTCGGACTCCAGATCTGTTTTTGTTGTTATTGTTGTTGTTTGTTTGTTTTTGAGACAGAGTTTTGCTCTGTCACCCAGGCTGGAGAGCAATGGGGCCATGTGGGCTCACTGCAACCTCTGCCTCCTGGGTTCAAGCAATTCTCCTGCTTCAGCCTCCCGAGTAGCTGGGATTACAGGCGCCTGCCACCATGCCTGGATAATTTTAGTATTTTTAGTAGAGACGGGGTTTCACCACGTTGGCCAGGCTGGTCGAACCCCTGACCTCAGGTGATCCACCTGCCTCAGCCTCCCAAAGCGCTGGGATTACAGGCGTAAGCCACTGTGCCCAGCCTCCAGATCTGTTCTTAACAATATTCAATGCTGCCTCAGCGTCCGGTGGGGACACTGAGGCCACAGCTGCCAGTGCCAGAGCCAGGTCGGGAGCCAGGTAACCTCAAGGTGTCTGCTCAAGCCAGGACCATCCCTGCCTGTAATTTGGGGAGACTACTTCTAGGAGCACTACGCTTCCTGGGGTCCTCTCCGAGAACGCACTTCCTGGCCAGGCATGGTGGCTCACGCCTGTAATCCCAGCACCTTGGGAGGCTGATGTGGGTGGATCACCTGAGGTCAGAAGTTCAAGACCAGCCTGGCCAACATGGTGAAATCCCATCTCCACTAAAAATACAAAATTAGCTGGGTTTGGTGACACGCACCTGTAATCCCAGCTACTCAGGAGGCTAAGGTGGAAGAGTCGCTTGAAACCAGGAGGTGGAGGTTGCAGTGAGCCAAGATCGCTCCACTGCACTCCAGCCTGGGTGACAGAGCAAGACTCTGTCTCAAAAAAATGAAAAACAAAAAAACCAAAAAAAAAACAAACAATACTAACACTCACACCTGCCAGCTTCCTCCACGCCAGGCGAGCCCAGTGAGGCCTGCTGCCTCCCTGCCCGCCCAGGGGGACACCCACACTGGCAGAGCTCTGGGAAGCACCTGGCACAGAGGGAGGGCTCAGGATGTTTGGGGCAATGCTGTCCCACGGAACCCTCACCGTGCAACCGTGCTTCCAAGGTTAAGTGCAATTATTACCTTCACTCTACAGATGAGGAAACTGAGGTCAAGAGAGGCAAAGCCACCTGTCCAAGATCACGAAACTAGCAAATGGCATAATATCATGCTCGTTCCTCCTACAGCCTCCTTTAGCAGGGGAGGAGGGGAAGGTTGTGATGGCCTCAGGCACCGGCCTAACACTTCACTTCTCTAAGATTTGTCTCCTGATCTGGGCTTCTGTTTTCTAGAAGAGCAAACCGAGTCTTGGTGAGGTGTGGGGCAGAGCAATTGACTGAGCCATCTCGGGGCCTTCTCACTCCCAGCCGATGAAAACTCACCCCCAAGGACAGTGGCAGTCCATTCCCCAGGGAGCTGTGACACCTGTGAACATCACCCATCCACCCACCTAACTACTGCTCATGAAACATTTCGATCCTATACATCATATACAAATATATTTTTTCTTTCTTTTTTTTTTTTCTTTTTTTGAGATAAAGTTTTGCTCTTGTTGCCCAGGCTGGAGTACAGTGGTGTGATCTCAGCTCACTGCAACCTCTGCCTCCAAAGGTCAAGCGATTCTCCTGCCTCGGCTTCCCAAGTAGCTGGGATTACAGATATGTGTCACCACACCCGGCTAATTTTTTGTATTTTTAGTAGTGATGGGGTTTCACCATGTTGGCCAGGCTGGTCTTGAACTCCTGACCTCAGGTGATCCATCCGCCTCAGCCTCCCAAAGTGCTGGGATTACAGGCGTGAGCCACCACGCCCGGCCCCATATATCATATATATTGATGTACACATATGCATGATATGCACAGAGACTGCTGCAACAAATATATCCCATGTGCCGCCACCTTAAGAAACAGACCACCACTCACACTCTAATGTGAGCACCGCTCCCCAGACACACCCGCCTCTCCCCAGACAGCCAACCACTATCCTATGTATTGTCTCCAGCGTTCCCTTTTTTATTTTTCCTATGATTGATGGATTGATTGACTGATTGAGACAGACTCTTGCTCGTTCTGTCACCCAGGCTGGAGTACAGCGGTGCGGTCTCAGCTCACTGCAACCTCTGCCTCCTGGGTTCAAGAGATTCTCCTGCCTCAGCCTCCCAAGTAGCTGGGATTACAGGTGTGAACCACCATGCTCAGCTAATTTTTTTGTATTTTTAGTAGAAACGGGGTTTCACCATGTTGGTCAGGCTGGTCTCGAACTCCTGACCTCAGGTAATCCGCCTGCCTTGGCCTCCGAAAGTGCTGGGATTACAGTTGTGAACCACTGCATTTGGCCTATTTATTTGTTTATTTATTTACTTATTGAGAGGGAGTGTTGCATTGTCGCCCAGGCTGGAGTGCAGTGGCATGATCTTGGCTCACTGAAACCTCCGCCTCCTGGGTTCAAGCCATTCTCCTGTCTCAGCTTTCCCAGCAGCTGGGATTACAGGCACGCACTACCATGCCCAGCTAATTTTTGTATTTTTAGTAGAGATGGGGCTCCACCATGTTGGCCAGGCTGGTCTCGAACTCTTGACCTCGTGATCCACCTGCCTTGGCCTACCAAAGTGCTGGGATGATAGCTGTGAGCCACTGTGCCCGGCCTAATAATTTTTTTTTTTGAGACAGTGTCGCTCTGTCACCCAGGCTAGAGTGCAGTGGTGCAATCTCGGCTCACTGCAACCTCCACCTTCTGGGTTCAAGTAATTCTCCTGCCTCAGCCTCCTGATCAGCTGGGACTACAGGCACACGCCACCATACCACCATACCCGGCTAATTTTTGTGTTTTTTAGTAGAGACAGGGTTTCACTATATTGGCCAGGCTGGTCTTGAGCTCCTGACCTCATGATCTGCCTGCCTCAGCCTCCCAAAGTGTTGGGATTATAGGCGTGAGCCACCGCGTCCAGCCTATTTATTTATTTTTGAGATGGGGTCTTGCTCTGTTGCCCAGGGTGGAGTGTAGTGGCATGATTTTAGCTCGCTGCAGTCTCAAACTCTCAGGTTCAAGCAATCCTCCCGCCTCAGCCTCCCAAACCTGGTGGCATGAGCCACCATGCTTGACTCTGTTTTTCTTTAGAGTTCCACTATATAAGAGCATATCCCCAAACAATATATGGCTGGTGGATTTTTTTTTTTTTTTCCAGAGACAGGGTCTTGCTTTATTGCCCAGGCTGGTCTTGAATACCTGGCCTCAAGCAATCATCCTGCCTTGGCCTCCAAAAGTGTTGGGATTACAGGTGTGAGTCATCCTGCTGAGCCTGCTGGTTTTTGCCAGTTTTTTGTTTGCTAGTTTTGGCTCATATGTGTAGTTCCAGCACTTTGGGAGGCCAAGAATCCCTGGAGGCCTTGTGTTTGAGACCAGTCTGGGTAACATAGCAAGACCTTGTCTCCATAAAAAAGGATAATTGGCCCGCACGGTGGCTCACACCTGTAATCCCAGCACTTTGGGAGGCTGAGGCAGGCAGATCACGAGATCAGCAGTTCGAGACCAGCCTGGCCAATATGGTGAAACCCCATCTCTACTAAAAATACAAAAACTAGCTGGGCATGGTGGCACACGCCTGTAGTCCCAGCTACTCGGGAGGCTGAGGCAGAATAATCCCTTGAACCTAGGAGGAGAGGTTGCAGTGAGCTGAGATTGGGCCACTGCACTCCAGCCTGGGCAATAGAGGGAGACTCTGTCTCCAAAAAAAAAAAAAAAAAAAAAATATATATATATATATATATATAGTTATGTGAAAGGCATCATTCAGGTCTCACTCTTCTGAGGTTTGCTGTCTTTGCACAGCACGAAGCATGCAGCTCTCCTCCACGCTGATGCCCTTAGTGCCAGTTCATCTCCGCTGGGTGAACACACCACAACCTTGCCAGTGTGCATTGGGTGCACCGAGGTGCCGGTGGTTAGGGATATTCAGTCCTCTCCTGCCGTGCACGTGTGCATTAGACAGAGTGCATACCTAGGAGTGCAGGAGCTGAGTCACAGAGCAGGGTCTCTTCAAACTGGACTTGAATGTGCTGTACCGTTTTCCAAACTGGCTGCACATGGCCAGGCGCGGTGGCTCACGCCTATAATCCCAACACTTTGGGAGGCTGAGGTGGGTGGACCACTTGAGGTCAGGAGTTCGAGACCAGTCTGGCCAATATGGTGAAACCCCATCTCTACTAAAAATACAAAAATTACCCAAGTGTGGTGGTGCACACCTGTAGTCACAGCTACTCAGGAGGCTGAGGCAGGAGAATATTGTTTGAACCTGGGAGGTGGAGGTTGCAGTGAGATGAGATCACACCTCTGCACTCCAGCCTGGGCCACAGAGTGAGATTCTGTCTCAAAAACAACAACAACAACAACAACAAAAAAGAAAAAAAAAAAAAGGAAAAAAGAAAAAATAAAATGGCTGCACTTATTTGTGCTCCTACAAGTCTGAAAATTCACAGCTCCACTGCTCCACGTCCCCACCCTGGCATCCCCAGACCTTTTAAGCTTTGCCCGTTGAGTGGGCGTGCAGTGGTGGCTCACTGTGATCTAA